TGCGTAGTGGCTACAATATAAATTTTCTCAAACTGCCCCATCTTTTCCTTCTCTTTTCAGTGTAGGGGAGCTAAGTGCAGAGGAGTGCAGGCATTTCATGCTTTGAGCTCTCAGAGAATTGCTATTAGATGAGAGTTTCTTGAGAAATGAAAAGCCTTTACAAAAAGCTGGGTTGAGACAATGTGATGAATGTTATGGAAATCAGTGGGTTTGTCTCAGGTGGAGAAGAGGTTTTGTTTGTTGTTGGACTAGTGCAGAGTCTCAGAGGTGCAGATAGGAGTAGCCAGAGGGTGTTTTCTTTGGGGTAGTCCCTCATGATAGCCATTTTTGATGTCTGACCTCTTTAACAGCATGACCTGAGGGTAGGTGGAAGCAAGGTCGGGGTGGGGAGGGGAATGAAAGGCAGACATCAATTAAGGTATTGTTTGTTGCTGGGTTTGAATGTCTGCCTCCGTGCTGAGATCCGGGGCAGAGGACAGTGGTCAAGTGCTTGTTCTAAGGCAGGAGAAATGCTCCAGGGTGGGTTGAGGACCCAGTAACAAAAAGCACACTGCACTTGGCACACATTGTAGCCCGGGGTGAAATGAAAAGGATTCCAAGCCGCCCAAAGTACCCAGGATCATGTTGATGATTCACAGTGGCTTGACCATGAAAAGATAACAAAGTCTTGCTTCCGAGGGCTTTATGGAACCTCTGAGGTTCCATAAAGACCTTTGGAAGAGACTGTCTCACTTCAGCAGCCCAGACTCCATCATTTTATGCTTGAAACTCTCCCTGTGCTCCACTTCCTACGTGCTAAGGAACTGGCAGGTGTAGGAGGAGGGACTTCCTTCATCCTAAAAAAGATCGACACCATGCTGGAAAAGGACTCACCATCTCCTTGGTTTGCCTTCAGATGGCAATGTAGCTGGAGTTAGAAATGGAATCACTCCGAATTCACTTTCAGTGTGTGTCCAGCAAGCATGCATTTTATGGTTTGTGGATGGCAAATGTCTGACAGGGGTATTACTATATATTTATTTCAAGACCAGCACTAAATAGTTACTTTGTTATCAGAGTTCCATATCAGAGTCATTTTTTGTGTACAGTACTTGATGGAAATCAATGCAAAAAGCAGAGATGCCTTTCCTGCCATTGCTACCATGGCACCATGGTCTTCTGTCCCTTTGGCAGAGCTGAGCCAGTCAAAATGCCTCTTGGACCAGCAGCTGCTGGAGAGACCTACTGCTCATGGTAGTTTTGATGTCAAGCCCATGTTGCAGTTGCAAAATCTCTGGATTTGGAAAATCCTGATAAGATGTTGATAGTAGTGTGTTCAGACAGTGATGAACTGATTTCATTTACAGTCTGTTCTTCGCTGGGTCTCAACTGTTTGGTGAAACTTAGAAGTTCCTGTGGAGCATCTGCTTTTTACATGCTGTGCTCCAGAGGCTGGAGCCTGCTGCAGCTTTGGGGTCAGCCTGAGCCCCCCGCTGCTGGCATTTCTCTTTTTCCTGAGGAAAAAAATCCTTTTCATTGTTAACTCGAGGGGGTTTCCTAAGCTTGTTTTGTGAGGGAGGGCTTGCTTCTTGAGCCTGAACATTGTGCAAAGGGCATGCCCTGCTGAGCACATTCATTTGGTGCTTAGAATTTTCTCTTTAACTTCTGCAAAATTAGAGTTCATTCCTAGGAAGGATGGCTGTGGACCTCTGTACAGACACATTTTTTTAAGACATGAGGATAAAATGCTCATCTCAAAAAGCTGGGCTGTTTCATCTCCGTGCCCAAGTTTCGTTTGATGAATAACAGAATCTCTGTTAGCCAGAAATAACTCGATTTTGTTTTCCATGTATCTGGTCTGAGATGACGCTAATAAGAATAAATTAGGAGTGCAACTGACTAAAATTCAATATGTAAAATGAGTGTGCTGATGTCTCAGGCAATGGCAGTGGCTACGGGGGGAGCAGTGGGACTGGAAGGGGAGGCAGTTCAGAGCCGAGGCTGCGTGTTGCAGCCAGCTAAGGCGCAGCTCTGGATCCTTAATAAAGTGGGAGCAAGAGGGTGAAAATAAAAAAAAGGGGTGGTGGGGGGAGATGGGGGAAGGATGGGAGCGGTGGGAAAGCTGAGCATCCTGATTTGCACGAAAATGCAGCACTCATTTGCAACTGGAAGGAGGCCGGGGCCGCCGGGGAGGTGCGGCGGGAGGGGCGGGGGCAGGGGCAGGGAAGGTGCCGGGAGCTGCCGCTGCTCCGGCCTCACAGCCGGCTGGAGACACGGGATGGAGAGCAGGCACCTGCCGGCTCGGGACTTCCTGGAGCAGCCTGGCTTGGAGAGCGCGGGAAAGGAGGGGAACAAGAGCGGAGTAACTGCTGTGGACAACAAGCAAACCTTTCTCGTCCTGCGCAAAGAAGAATAACAGCTGGGGTGCTTTTTTTCTCCTGTTCTGTTTGTTGGAAGTGGCTGTTTCCAGCGAACATTCGAGGAGGAGAAACTCAGGCTAAAGAATTGTAAATTATTTCGTCTACCAGAAAGATCTAGACATATTTAAAGTGATTCCAGGACAAAAAAAGAGGCAGAGGGGAGAAACGTGGAGAAGAGAAATTTGGTGTGCAGAGTTTGAACAGGTTCAAGTCTGGCAATCACCTTTCTGCAACTCCTCCTTTCTATGGGATTTCAACTTCAGGATCGCAGTTCAGCACCTTGAAAATGGTGGTTTTCATCAACACAAAACTTAAATCTTTCATGAAACTTTTCAAGAGAAAGAGTAAGTATAGTTCTGTGTGCTCACTGAGCTTTCAGGAGGCAGCCCAGTTCTGAAGGAAAGTGCGGGTCCCGTCGGCTTCACTTCTCCTTCCCGCAGCCTCCTTTTAAACTTTTCTCACTCTTTTAATCGTTTATCGTTGTGGAGTGAATGGAGGCAGCCTTGTGAGGGTCTTTGGGACCTCTGCTTTGGGACACAGTGGCTTTGTAAGTGCTTTGTCACGGTGATACTGAAGGAGCCAAAGTTCTCGGTGTGCAATGGGCAGCTCGGTGACCAGGCAGGGTGTGCCGGTATGTGCTGGTGTCCTCATGGTTTGTCAGACATCCGTCTCTGCTTATGCAGCTATCGGCTTGTATCACTGAGGTATCTGGGTAAAGTTTGTTCTGAGCCAGCGTTTGTCTTTAAAGATGTTCTGGTTTCAGGGTGGCTTTTAAAATCATGTTGATCTTCCTTTAAGTCATGAAGGACAGACAAATCACACTAGAGAGAGAGGTTGGCAAATGTGCACACCACTTCTCTTGACTAGTTTTGATGACCATTATCGATCCTGACGAGCAATAAACCTTAATTTTGCTGTGGCAGGGCTGCAGCCAGACGGTGGGCTTGGCGGCAGGTGTTCCCCTCCTCCTCTTCCTCCTCCAGCCTTACCCACTCCCCACCCGCCGGTTCAGCCGGGGAATGGCGTGGGCGTCTTTCACTGCCTTTAAGTGTCGCGTTTTCTGTTAGATGGGGGTGATTGATGCTCTAACCAGGTAGGTGATGACTTCTCCGTTTTTTGTAGTTTAGGTTTCACCGCTGGTGAACAAGAACGGGGAGAGTGGGCACGGGCTGAATGTGTACCTGCCGTGTTCCAATCAGTATGTCTTGGGAGAAGGGGGTGGGATGCAGGACCAGGGCACAGACATGAGGATACCCGTTTTCAGACATTTCGAGGTCTGAAACTACGAGGGGAAGCAGTTAAGAACCTCCCCCTCCACCTCAAGTCCTTTTAGGAAAGAACAGGCATTGAGCATTAGGCTGTAGCTGTTTTGAAGTGAGAGGCATAGCTTATTTTCCTTATGAATCCCAGTTGTTTCCATCTGAAATGATCCCAGCAGATGCACAGTAATGTTAAGGAAAGGGTAATTTTTCAGATGACAGGAGGCTGTTGCATCCTTTTTGCTTCTCAGTTTTCCATACCACCTCTGCTACCACAAGGGCATCAGACAAACCACAAAGTGATGCCCCAGGCAGTGCAGCAGCAAAGGGGGCATAGGGGAGATGCAGAGCTCACAGCCAGGCTGGGGGCAATGGAGCTGTGGCAGCAGGGCAGGTGCTTGGAAGGCAGCACATCTGTAGTGGCTTTTTCTGCTTTGGAGAGCTAAAAAGCAAGGATGTGCAGCATGCTGACTGAAGGCCAAAGGGTGCCTGGGGGATCATAAAATATGACCCTCACCTGCCCTTTTTCTGTTTACAGCAGGGTAGAGGGATAAGGCTATTCAACTGCTTAAGTTTTTATTGATGATAAACTTGAAACAAAATGCAGTGGCTCTCTCTTGGGAAGCATAAATGATAAACAAATCTTGGCAGTGTGTGCTTTGGCTGTTTCATTGCTAGATTTTCTGACCTTGAACAAGGTCTGTGTTTTATTTTCATGTTTGTATTGAGTGCAAAGAGGTGGCCAGAGATAGCCCTCTTCGGTGCTGTTGTGCTCTGAGCTGTATTTGTCCATAGAGTTGCTTTTGTTTATATCTGCTTTCCACTCAGGACAAAGGAACATAGCAAATTTATTTGCTTCATTGGAATCTTGTTTCTGGTGTGAGGAAGCAGGAGGTCAGACAAGGTTGTTTCCCAATAAAAATGAAGTTGTTGTCATCTTTCATGAAGGCTGTCATATTCCCAGGGGCACCTTTGAGCCAAGCTATTCTGCACTGCACAGCACCTGCCATGATCAGGGAGTGGAAAACTGATTCCTTTTTGAAGAGTGGGAGCTAGAGGGGGGGAAAACAGAGTTTCAAGTTCAGAGTGAATAAAACAGCAAGTATAAAAATGAGAAGAGCGAAAGGTGTTTCCTACAGAACTAATTTTTAGACTAGAAATTTAAGGAAGGGTTTTTTAACTGTCATGGAAATGAGGTTCTAAGGAGTATTCTGATGGCTCTGTGGTGGCAAACATTGCTTCTTTCATTTTTAGATGATGTGGGGCAAACTTACATATGGGATTTCATGATAGAGCTATCTGCAATAACATCTCATTTTCTTATTATTGTGTCTCTCTGCAGCTGTTTCCAACCTAGATGAAGAGAGTAGATGGACTGTGCACTACACTGCTCCGTGGCACCAGCAGGAAAATGTCTTCCTACCCTCCTCAAGACCACCTTGTGTGGAGGACCTGCACAGACAAGCCAAGCTGAACCTCAAGTCAGTGCTGAGAGGTAAGACACTGCTACTGACACAGACACGTCCTAAAACAACAGTACTTTTTGCCAGTCTTTGCAAACATATCCAGATTGCAGGCTTTGCAAGAATTACTTGTTTTTCTGTATCACATGTAGAACATTAGTGGTGTTTTCCTCTCAAATGAGGGGACAGGGGAAAATTACTTTGCTGTGAGGACCATAAGTAAATGTGTTATCTGACAGAGCACTCTAAAACAGAAAAGTGTCTCTTGGCCTATCTGTTTAGTCTTTGGAGTGTTTCCAAAATGATACCTTCAATTTCACTAAGTCCTGAATTAGTCCATTTGTGAAGAAAAAATACATCAGAGGTGTTTCATTTGGTGATTTCTTTTGTTGTTGCACAGTGTCGTTTCCAGGGTTGTGGCTGCTTGTGAGAAGCTGGAAAAGGTGCTGAGGGCAGAAAAGGGAAATGGGGAACAGGGCACTCACAAGGACTCCTCCAGTAATAAAAATGCTTGTTTGCAGAAGTGTTCAGCATGTTTTTAAGCCCCAGTTTTTACCCACAGTACCTTTGCTGGGGCTGTACCTATACAGTCTGTCTGCAAGGCATTGTGTTGTGTCAGTGCAGCCATAAGAACAAAGACGTGCAGCCACCAAGGAGGCCTGCAGAATGCCTGTTCCTGGGCCAGACATAAAGTTTAAAATAACAGTATAATGTTCATGTTCTGGAAACGGTTAACCTGGATTTTTCTTTTACACTGGCTGTTTAACAAAGGGGGTTACCCTGCAAAGAGCCAACTTGTTCAAGTCCCTTTTTGTTTCAACAGGAACTGCGGGTACTTGATACCTTGCAAAGTTAACCTGATTTAAAAGAATATTGTATTTTTTTGTTTGATTAACCTGACATTTCTGCTTTTTAGACTTGAAGAAAGCTTGATTTTGTATGTCTGAATAGAGAAGTGTTTGACAGCCATATTTGAGTTCTCTTGCCATTTCCCCAGTTAATTGATTTTCACTGTCTCTTACTAGGTGCTTTTTGTTATCATTTAATAGGAAAGTCTTGACAGCCAGTGTTATTGTCTCCTGCATGGCTCAGCAGATAGCCTGTGTGCCCTCTGTACTTATTACTGGTTTAATGCATTTGTGCAGTTCCTTAGCCTTGAAACATTTATTGTTCTCTTGCAGGCATGTTTACCAGTCCATTGCAAAATGAAAATATTTATCAGTTCTTTACAAAATAAAAATATTTGCCTGCTTTAGATTAAAAAGTATACTGATGGTTGTTAGCTTTTTTTGTGAACTTTACCCACTCATTCTAATATTTTTTCCTGTTCTGTGTTTTGGACTGTTAAAAAAACCCCAAAAACCTGCACAGGCTAAAATGCACTGGTTTTCTTGAGTTTTATGAGAAATGTAACTACTGCAGTTTCATGTTCTGTTTAAACACATTTATATCTAATATATTTGTCTGAAACCAAGTAATACATGCTGCTTCCCCTTCTTACATACCTGGAGTTGTTTTGGTCTGGTGGGATTTTTCTCTGGAGGTGCAGCTCATTATAAGAAAGAAGCTATTGATTACTACTACAATTTGCTAGTTAGCTATTTGTGTTAAATATTCTGGCTTGTGTACCTGATGTAAGACCACTTGGTAATGAAGTGAGTTTCAGTTTCATGCTTTCGGGGTAGTAACTGAGAGGAGAAACTGATGATACCTTCACCAGACATCAAACTGCTGACTTAGTGAATGCAACTCTGTTATTTATGTATTTACTTATTTGTTTAACCTCAAGCTCTTTCCTTGAGCCATGTTTTGGTTTTTTCCCCTAAGTACAGTTTTAAAATAACTCCTTGCTGTTGCCTGGAACTGTCCTGAGAAGCTACAGCATGACTAGTATTAAGAGAGGCACTGAGTAAAGTTTTATCACTTTTACTGTGCTGTTGCTTTGACCAGCAGTGTGAAATCAGGAAGGCACTGGTGCCTTGGAGATTTCAGTTAAAAGTTCTGTATCCAGAGCAGAGTTTCATTCAGTGTAAAAGCACTGTCAGAATTGTGACATAATTTTGAGAACTGCTGAACTGATTTTCCACCTGTTTCTTTAGAAAAATCAAAGTTTTCTAAAGCTTCTTTAATAGGTAGAAAGGAATTATGTGACTGTAAGGCAGAAGAGCTTGAAGTAGTGTTATGAGCAGCACCATTGGGCTAGCATGGGGACTTCAGTTCTGCATGTCTTGGCCTTATGATAAAGCTTGCAGTTTGCCATCCTTGTGGTGTTTCACATTCTTTGGCTGAGGTAAACCTGGAGCAGTAGGACAGCTGTGTGTGACCTGCATGCTGTATGGGTGGTGGGGAAAGAATGACACTGGATGACAAAATGCGCTGTATTCTGTGCAGAAAGTGGGATGAATTGCCTTTGTCTCCTGAAAACAGTGACAGCAAAGGGAAACTGGAAAGAAGTAGAACTAGAGCAAATATAGTTATTGGTTTATGCTAAGTCAGAAGTTAAGCAGTAGGCCTGTACAGCAGTGGAGAAATATGAGGGCAAAGATATTTAATAGAGCCCCCCCCCCCATAAATTTTGGGGGTTATGAAATAGTTTAAAGTTTTTGAGAATAGGTCAGACAAGCACTACTCAAAAGTCATTGTGTATATTTAATCCTATCTTTAGAGGAGATTGGGAAGGAAGAAAGAACTTCTGGTGGTCCCCTTGAACCTGATAATGGAGTCAGAGGACTGAGTTAGCAACCGTTGTTCAGACCATCAAAAGACAGATTTGAAAGCTTTCCAGTCCTTTCTTGTTCACATTATGAGAGCTGATGTTGTTGGTAGACAACAGGTAGCCTTCAATCAAGCAGCTATAGCAGCTTGATTGAAGGCTATTTATTTGTTTCTACACACGTGGCTCCCCTGTAAATGGAAAAAGAAGTAGAAAACTTAGGTAACAAATAGTAATTTACATGTAGAGCACATTTAAATCGCCTGTCAAATATCAAGTGTATAAAATCTGTCAAAATAATTCTAGCAAAGTATTTCTATCAAGGTATTTTCACCCATCTAATAGTAACCAGATGGAATCCTGGCTAGCTTTTAAGACAGTGCAAGGGCAAACTGTTTGTTCTGGTACAATTTTCATAGCAAATTCTTTACAGTGTGGACCCAATAAAAAAAATCTATGGAAATAAATAAGAAGCTGTCTGTTACTTAGAATAAACTTCTAAGTACCACTTAAGAAGCGGAAGCTAATGTTGCTACTTAAATTGGTTTAAGGATAAAAAGTTAGAGATATTAAATAATTAGTATTTAAAGTGTCTTGAGAAAATTAAGTACACCGTGTGCTGATCTCTGCATACTTTTTCGGGAAGCAGTGTTGTTTTTGTATGAGGAAAAGATCTTCTTAATTAATTTTTGTGCAGCTGATTATTTTACTTTGTATATTATATATTGGTATGTCCCCTGCTTATCAACACTGTGGAAATGGATGCTATATGTGACAGTAGATGTTGCATAGGGGGAGGTATTTTAGGTTTTTACCTATGAACTAGGCTTTTATCCTTTTGAAAAGAAGAGGAAATACAGTGCTTTTCCTTTATGAAGCTACTTTCAAGTATAAGTGGTGAGATCTTTCATTCAAATATGTTCATAACTGAGGTAAAGCTATTTTAGGCATGCAGGTGCTCTGCTGCCCTCTGAAGTTTTAAAATGCAGTATTGTCGAGTAACCTGAATTAGAAAATGAAGTACCTGGAACCTGGAACGTTCACGAGGCTAGTCTGTCTATTCTTGAGACATATAACCTATATGTAACCTATATTGAAATTTAGAGTTGTTATTGACTAAAACCAATGGCTTGATATATTAAACCCAGGCTATGTTACTTCATTTTAAATGCAAGGTCTCTGTGGCTTACTGTGATGGCTTCAGCTGCACTTCAGTCATGGTACCATTGCAATTTGATTTAAATGTTTAGAAAATGATGCAGTTCTTGTGTTGTGGTGATAGATACAGTATTTCTTCTTAGTGCTTTGTTTGCATTGGATAAAGCAGACCCTCATTTTCTTTGGGGAAGGAGCCAGGACCTTGGAGTGCCTGCTGAAGCAGAAGTGAGACATACCATGCAGGATGTGTGTTTTCTTACCCTCAGGGCCAAGCTGCTCTGGCTGGCCTTTCCTGAAACCCTGTCCTATATGGCCTCTTCTTAAAGCTTTCACGGGCACTTCATGAAAGGTGTTTCCCAAAATACAGATGTTCAGATAGAAACAAAAAGGTATTAACCACTGAGGAGTCTTAATGTGAGTCTGTGCTTTGTGTCCCTGTTGTGTCCTAGGAAGTCAGGAAAACAGGAGGTGGAGACGACAGATGGGAAGGAAGAGCTGAGGCTCTGCATGGGGCCAGGATCCTCGAATCAATCCTGTTCCCTTGCTGTGTGCTCTGCTCCAAGGCTGAGGGACTACTAGACTTGGCTAGTCTCATGTTGCTAATGTCTGCTGAGTGTCTGGACTAGCCCTGAGAGTCTGGTCTGGGCAGTAGCAGAGCTTGTGGGTTTGATGTTGTTCAGAGTGGCATTGTTTAAGAAGGCTGTTATCTGGCATTGTTTCTTAAGGCAGGCTGTTGTCTGTGCTGAAGGGCCCAGTGCCACATACTGCAGTGTTCTTGGTCCATAAGGCTGAGAGGTTCAGCGGGTAGGGGAGCACTGTAAAACAGCTCCCATCCCTGCATTGACAGATCTGGCTCCTTGCGTGGTCCTGTTTGAGGAACCAGTATCTGAGCAAGTCTCTGAAGTACAGTGGCCTTCAGCTGGGAGCACAGATGGAGCAGCTGCAGTACATAGCAGTGACACAAATATGTGGCAGTAAAAGTAAATTGAGACTAATCCTCATTTTGTGGAGTGTGTTAGACTCTAAAATTGACCAGCAATAAGGCGTGAAGCATGAAGATGGGGAGGAGATGCAGCACTGTTCTAAGTGTTGCTTTATTTAACTGCTTGGGGTGTATTTTAGGTGAGCCTGTTTACCTTCTGAGCAGGTTTGTGAAATCAA